TTCTTTTGATCATAGCTATTAATGTGACGTTGAGAAATAAATTAAATAAACTGTCATCTTTTAAAAGAATAAAAATGTTTGTAATTTTCAATAGGAAAATAACCCTAAAGTATTTCTATTGTCCACTAAATAATCTTGTAAATTAAGTAAAAATTTTGATAATCCTTTAATTGCTTTTACGTAACTAAATAAAATGTATGTCAATCATATAAATCTATAACACAAAAAGAGAATTATAGTTGACCAATTAAAAGTAACTTTAGAAAATTCAAAATTGACGCTAAAATTTCATAGGTGAATAAAATAGTTCCAATCAGCACGTGATGTTGGGTTTAAAAAGGGAACACCGCAAACTCCCAACATCACATATCACACTTCAAGTTTGATTGCTGTTTGGAATAAATAATTAAACCATCATTGTATTTTATTCACCAGCGCCAGGCCTCGAAAGAACAAGTGTCTCGAGAAAATGGACACGCCTGCTGAAGAAGGAATTACCTAGATGGAGATAGGAGTGAGCTAGTATTCCCCAGGACCGATAGAATCCCCGAAAGAATTTAGAACCCCAAATACACCGAAGATATGAATAGTTCCAAAGAGAAAAGATGTACGTCCCCCGTTAGTTTAGAAGCATTTACGTTTTGGAGGGAAAGGGGAGACAACCTGACAGAGCAGCGATTCTTCCCCCTTTTCCTGCATTACAGAAACACTCCACTTTCACTGACGTAGATTACACATCTTGTATTTGTGATGTGTGAATGTTCAAAGATCTGTGTTGTAAACTGTAGAAGGAATTGAACATATAGGAACCATTATTGCCGTCGTGTCCGCAAATTCTAGCCATCGACGATAACCGATTTTGTACACAGCGTCAAAAAGTAATAAGACAGAAGATATTACCTTACAGACATGTTTATCCCCGCCACACTCTATATGTGCCTGTCCTAAGTCAGGAGCCTGTAACTCAAGTGGTTGGGTTTTTTTGAAGTTTCGAATATTTGTTTTTCCTTTATTGTTTTGCATAGTTTGTTCTTGTGTTGTGCCGTTACACCACTGTCCCTGGTTAGGGGAGGGTTGCCACCTTCAAACATGATTAACCCCGCCACATTCTTTATGTGCCTGTCCTAAGTCGGGAATCTAGTTCAGCGGTTGTCGTTGGTTCATGTCTGTCGTTGTTTTGTTATAAATTAGGTCTTTAGTTTTCTCAATTGAACTGCTTCATATTTTTCATGTCGCGGCCTTTTATAGCCGACTATACGATATGGGTTTTTCTCGTTGTTGAAAGCCGTACGGTTGCCTATAATTGCTTACATCCACTTCATTTAACTTTGGTTGATAGTTGTCTCATTAGCAATCATACCACATCTTGTTTTTAGATAAAAGGTAAATGTTGAAAAATACCAACCGTTCCCCAATTAATATACGTGTATGTACAAACAATCCAATATTCGCATGCCATTGCTTTAACCATTTTATCAATCAAAATACAACAGCCTGAAGAAATTTAAAGACTATGATGATATAACAACAGGTTTCCTTTTACTGTTGATAGTAAATAATGACATTTTGTCGTTCTATTATATCTGTGCAATTTATCTTTAATTTACGAAATTGTAAAACAATACGTAAATATACAAATACTGAGATGAAAAAGAGAGAAGTTTACCGATTCCTTTAGAGATAATGGTGATTGAACATTTTTATTCCGACTTTATGGAGACATTAGATATACAAAAGATTGTCAGCAAATTAAAACAAAAGCTACTATTTCGATTTTCTGTCAGACAATCATAAACCACTATCAGAAATTTACAATCTATTTTCAAAACAGAAATCATATCAAACTGATCATAGAGCAAGACGAGACCGTCAAAGTATTTTCAGACTTATCGCTATTCGCAACTCTCATATAAATAAGTTAACCAATTCTCATATGTAGGACATTTAATCCTTTTTTTTTAATTTTTATTGTCATTTTATATGTGGGCTGTTCGTCAGAGTTATATAGAACTTTTTTTTTTATATCAGAGACTGCATTTGATAAAATCATTTCTAGCAATATAGTCTGTACATTATAACGGAAAGGCTCGAATATAAAATGGATCATTACCACTCAGGATTGTTACACTCGCATACCCTTTCTTTTGACATGGATCATACTACCTTTATAATGATTCTTGAAATATTCGGTTCAAATTGTTGATTGATCAAATTAAGCTATATCTAAACGATTTTCAAAAAGTTCATAGAAGTCACCGATACTTATTTTGCTTTTGTGCATGTACAGAGTAACCGTCGCAATAAAAACTATGATTTACTTGATCCGAAAGAGGCGCAACTGAATAGTATCGTTTTCATAACAGTGTGGACAAGACCATTTTTTGGCGCGCTCAAGTCTCCCATTGACTGGGTTAAATTAGGTGAACGTTCGTCTGTAACGCCAACTTATCACGTCGTATTTATTATAGACATTTAAACTGTGGGGTCACTAAAGGTTCTCAACGCCTGACTCAAATAATTCGAAAAACTAGTACAGGAATAACCTTTGTGTTTTGATTAATATTGAATACTTCAACGTTCTTTACTTGCGTTTTTATATGTTTTGATCAACAATTTCATTTTATGTATCGAAATGTGTATCAAGTGTTAACTAAATCCCCACTGGAGGGCCTCTGTCAGACTGTGTCAGCGTAAAATCATTGTTATCGATAGCCAACGACAAACAAGGTAAACGTAAATGATTCAGTAGTATTAACAACAAAAGTACTACGGTTGTCCACACTGTTGCGGGAATACCTCTAGAAATTTTGTTCAGGTAGGACACTATTGGAGCTGCAGAGATTGACACTTATGAAATATACCTTAATCACATACTTATCACGAGTCAAGGGGTTGAGTAAATTTGTTTAGATTTGTCAGTTCTGTATGTATTTGCCTGGATAATGCGACAGTATTTCATCTTAAGACAACGGTTATTTAGAAGAAACCTCCAAATAGCCTAAAGCATGTCTGCATTTAATATTAATTGTATCATCTGCATCCGAATGCTTATTTTTTTAGTATTTTTTCAGCTACGAAAGCTCGATGTAATGGAATGGCCTTACTTCGTCTATATTCATATACATCTTGTTATTTGTGGTTCCGAACTAATGAGAAAACGTAACATAACAGTAGATGCAAAATGTGCATATGGATGTCGCTTCAACTTTTGACATGACAAAAAGCGGAAATTACGAAAGAAGTTCTCGAAAGAGCATATTTTAAAGACAACAGAGGTGAAAAATGGACAAAAGTTTCTGATGGGTCATTTTAAAAAATTTTGGACATTAAGCAAATTCAAGAAAACATCATGCTAGTTCAACTTTACATGAAGGTAAATGATTAACCGTGTAAAAAGTATAAAGTACGGGTAACGGCTCTGTTTATATTTAGTGGATATATTAACAGATCACTTCATTCGTATCAAATCTTTCCGAGAATTTGGCTAGTTCCAGAATTTCAAAAAGTAGTGATTTTAATGGTGACTTTAATGTTAGGTCTCTTTAAATTTAGAGTCAGAACAGAAATATTCAATGGATTTAATGTGTCGCATGATGTGTCTAATTTAATTAATTTCTCTTAATTTATAAATAGGTCCACAGTCACATTAATTTATTATTTTTCGTTAAATGTACAGCGGCAAATACTCCATACATATTCAAGGCAAGGATCAAATTAACAATACAAGTGTAGGTCGACTGTATGGCGGGCGGGAAATTTGGACTGCTGCTGTAAAATAAGGATTGCTGGTTAGGGGCAGATATTTTGCCTTGCAACATGCCATCGAAGAGTTGTCGTAGATAACAACGGATTAAAAAATGATGAGGTCTTATAGACAGAATTCTACTTCCTCAAAATTGTCAAATTGTCTCATTATTACACATAGAATTTCAATCATGAAAATTATAACCATTGCTGAGATGGCGAGCTGTCCATTTAGCTATTGAAAAATTATTTACTGACCATAGATAACATACCCTCTAATAAATTGTGCATTTTCAAGATCAAACGTAAAATCTGTCAAGAAAATTTAAGGGGGTGTCTGAACGTTGTGATTCACTTTTGTTTTTTTTTTAGTACATTTTTATGTATAAAACAATTAATATGCTTAAATTTTACTTTGAAAATGAGTTTTCTTTTTTTGTTGGATTGCTGTTTCCATGACGTATGTTCCACGTCTTTGTTTATTCAGATATAATTTAATTTTGGATGTAACGCGTCTTCTGATTGGCTGACGTTGTTTTGTTTATCAGCTCATAGACATAATTTTGTCATGTGACCGTGACGTCATCAACGTTTTTTCATGGTTTACTACGATATAATTTAATTTTGGATGTAACGCGTCTTCTGATTGGCTGACGTTGTTTTGTTTATCAGCTCATAGACATAATTTTGTCATGTGACCGTGACGTCATCAACGTTTTTTCAAGGTTTACTCCGGTTTAAAATGGAATTTAGAATTAAATTATAAGAAATGACTGTAATATTTTTTCTGTCTATTCGAAATAACATAAAAAGTGTGGTGCACACTTTAAAATAACCCGCTACGCTGGTTATTCAGTGTGCACCACATTTTTGATGTTATTTCTTCATAGACAGAAAAAATATTACAGTCATTCCTTAAATAAAAATCAATGAGATAGAAGTCCACAAACATTAAGGATCAAAAATGTGGTGCACACTGAATAACCAGCGTAGCGGGTTATTTTAAAGTGTGCACCACATTTTTTATGTTATTTCGAATAGACAGAAAAAATATTACAGTCATTTCTTATAATTTAATTCTGTGAATTCCATTTTAAACCGGAGTAAACCATGAAAAAACGTTGATGACGTCACGATCACATGACAGAATTATGTCTATGAGCTGATAAACAAAACAACGTCAGCCAATCAGAAGACGCGTTACATCCAAAATTAAATTATATAAATATAACAATGTTTGAGTTTGAAAAACTAAATAAACTAAATATATCATTTTATTCATATTACATCTAATATTTTCTTATAATACACATTTGTAAATGAGTAAATGTGTGATTAATATAAATTTCTATGTTTTCATAGTTTTGTAAGTGTTGTTAGTTCGAAGTGGCAACGGTCGAAAATTTTCTTTACGAATGGAAGATTCTGCATCAATTTTTCAAAGTCACCTGGACTATCTTGGCAAATTAAACCAATAGCCTGAAATGAACAAAATATTTTAGATGTATAAACATGTATGAACATTAACGGTGAAGATTTAATACCTTTATATACAATTACAAAATGGCGATCAGAAATATTATATGTTTTCCAGTTTAAGGACATACAAAGAAATTGTCATCTTTTGAAATGGTCAGATTTGGAAATTGTGTAATCAATAATGAAATAAAGATATGGATTATTTCATAGCTGAAACGATTGAAATAAAACTCTTGTATGTTTTTTTTTCTTAAATTCTTGCACAGAATTCTCGAAAAAAGAACATAATGTTAGTTCGGAAAAGAAAATGATGAAAGTCCATTTGCTTGTTTTCGCCTTTAATTCCTTTTTCCCATTTAGCGCCAATTTAACGTCACAGTTTATTTTTTAAAGTGACTGTCTTACATTCTGTCATTACAGTTCTCAAATCAGTACAATTTATTAAAACCGATTTATGATATGAAAGTAATTAAAATCTTCATTTGCCTCGAGCTCTTATCATTATGGTAGACTTTATTGGAATCAATAAAAAGCCTGGCTGCGATCTCTAACTACGACATTAAAATTTACGCAACCGGATTTAGGGAAATAAGTGAATTTTGTACGAAAAATTTTTGACTTCCGGTTTTACATTAAAACAACGCTTTAGATATTGGAACGTCTCATCAATTTCTGCATCTGCTACTGTATTGCATTTCCAAAAACTTTATTAGAACACAATATCAGTGGTATTGCAAGAAAGTAAGTATAACAAAAATACCGAACTCCAAGGTAAATTCAAAATGGGGAAGTCGATCCATAAAAACTGAAAAAATCAAACTTTATCAACCAACGGAACGAATGAAAAACAAGTGTAATATTCCTGACTTAGTGACACGCATTTTCCGAAGTAAATGGTGGGTTAAACCTGGTTTTATAGCTAGCCAAAACCTCCCATTTGTATGACGGTTGTTTATAGTTCCGTTATATTGGCAAGATTTGGTGAGCAACCCAAAGAGACATAATAGGTTAAAATGACAATAAATGGGATCAAGCAGCCATAACTGTGTAAACATACATCATAGACATACAACACAACTGATTAAACAATTCAAACAAACATACAAATAAATCGAACAACGACACCAACAAAAAAAGTGTTGTAGTTGAAAATAAATTTGACAAAAACGCCAACAAAAAAGTTTTTGTAGGCGATAGTAAATTGACAAAGATGCAAATAAAAAAGTTTTTGATTTTTTCCCCTAGAAGAATAGCAATGGCAAGCTTCTGCGATAAAATATTAAATCAGTACATTAAACCCATGCATGTAGCGCCGCAATAAGGGGATTTTTGATGTAAGTCATATAACTTTTAATCAAATTGTGTGTACGAAATTTCGATAACTGACAACTTCAAATTTAATGTTCGCATCTTTTTACTGACATTCTATACATTCATAGATATTTTTCACAATTTTTGAATTTTTTATTGTATCCGTTGGAGTATAAATGCTATATATACAGTTTAATTTTTTCGATATTAGATTCAGTTTAAATAGTTGTAAATGCTACAAAATTTCAGCGTTGCTGCAGAATTTGGGTTTACGACAATAGATATAAGAAGATGTGGTATGAGTGCAAACGAGACAACTCTCCATCCAAGTCAAAATTTAAAAGAGTAAACCATTATAGGTCAAAGTACGGTCTTCAACACGGAGCCTTGGCTCACACCGAACAGCAAGCTATAAAGGGACCCAAAAATTACTAGTGTAAAACCATTTAAACGGGAAAACTAACGGTCTAATCTATATAAAAAACGAGAAACGAGAAACATTTATGAACCACATCAACAAACGACAACTACTGAACATCAGATTCCTGACTTAGGACAGGTGCAAACAATTGCAGCGGGTTTAAACGTTTTAATGGTACCAAAACTTCACCCTTATCTGAAACAATAGTGTAACATCACAACATAGAAAGACACACTATAAAATATCAATTGAGATGGCTTAACTCAATCAAAAGACATATTAACACCAGTGAACATACACTGAACAAATAAATTTGATCTATGATACAATGTAAATACAAAATAAATAAACTAAGGGAAGAATAATTAAAGTAACATGTTATACCGCTGTGAAATGTTAAATAATTTAAGAAAAACAATATGCTTGAACAAAAATATCAGCCATTTGCAATTACTTTAAACACAGGTAAATGAAAATAATGTTGTTGTTAGGTATACGTGTACAATTCAAATGGAGAAAGGAAATTTTTTTACAAAATTAATCATTTTGGTGTTCATAGTACGAAGAAGTGAAAATTTATAGTAATACCAAACACTTATCAAAGCTAGTATATAGACCAGATATAGCCCTGAATAATATTAAATAACAAAAAAGCATTACAATTAGTATCAACAGGTCAAATAATGTTTAGATGTTGAATGGTGGTTACTTTTTTTTTTTTAATTTTCTAATGTTTTCGGATGTATATTGACATTATATTTGTATATTCTTACATACCTTTCTTTGTCCAAATACTTTAAACAGTTCTAATTCTAGACCAGTACCTCTGACAGTTAAAGCAGTTGTTGCCTCTTCCTTCCAGGTATTTAAAAATTCATCTGTTGTCATACCTGAAACGGAAATATTCATTACAATGATCAATGTCAATGTTTGGAATTAAAATAAATTTCATTAAAGTTCCTATAAAGGACCTTAAGAGAGGTTAGAACTGATTTCAACTGTATCAGTTGCTCCTTGTGAAAATGCACACGGTTAGCAGTTTTGCATAACTTCAGGTCATCAAAAATGAATTCGTCGCAATTTTTTGTTTACCAAAATTAATATCTTAAGAGCGTTCACCTCTTATCTATGAACCAAATAAGGGCAGACCATGCGTGCATAAAGACAAGGACATATATGCTCTAATTAATTAACAATGCTTAAACTCATTAAAAGCTTCTATAAGTTTCTATTTTTATCTTTAGTAAACTCCAAAATTGTTGCAGATAATGATTTTGTTATATTTTGAGGATAACTCCAGTTTATTAACCTTCTGGTAGGGTAATGTGCAGGATATTCAACAATGAAGCAATGATAAATACATAATCAGCTGTATTTCATGATCAAATGTCAATAAGGTTAGCTGCCAAGTATAGTAGCATGTAAGTACCATTCCATAAATCCATAAATGGATAGCGTAGCAGGTGATATGGATCCACGTTATGTGCACGATGATAAAGCTGCCTTTGTTGACAAAGAAGGGTAGTGTAAATCGTCAACAATTTAAATAAGGTAAGATGACTTTGTTATTGCTTTAAAGACATGTTACAATTATTGCAACTGGCTATGCTGTCCCTGAGTCGAAACGAAAGCTAGATCAACTCCTAGCATGAAGTGTTTTTTTATAATTTATAGGAAGTTTGCCAGAATTTCGTACTGTAAAATATTTGTCTGTCATATTCCTTGACTGCTTGTGTAATTAAAATTAATTATATTCTGCTTATTATGAGAAAATTTATCAAATATCTGCTCGAGTTTCCACTTAAAATGTGAATCATAATTGTGTAAACAGCAATATTCATTCACGAAATGTCCGCATATTATTATTCTAAACGAAATTATCTATGGTGTAAAATTTAACATGATTTTTATATAAGGTCAACGGATTCGATGCCCGACAGATGAATGTGATCTATGGCTGTCATGGGTACAGTCCAAAAAAGATATAAAAAAAATTATAGGTAACATTCGGAATCCATAATTTGTAAATCTAAAACAAAATATATACATGTATGTAAAATAACAATACATACCGTTGCATTCAATGTTAACATCAAACTTGTACACCACCGCTTTCGTGAGTTTTCTTGGTGGAGGTCCAGTCAGTTTGCTGTCAACTCCGATTATTTGTGCCCATTCCTCATATGCCAACAAAGAAGTACATGTAACTTGGAAATTACCTTTTTCCATAATACTAGAACACATGGTACTCACTTCCACTGGGTTTATAACCTCAAAGACTGCATAAAAAATAGAATTACATACAACATGAAATGGATAAAAGGAATAACCGAACATAATGGACAATAAATCAGACCACACCAACCACAAATACTCGATTCTTCAACAACGAACAACATTTTGTTTAGATAGCCTGACAATGTACAGGCACAAAAAATGTGATTGGGTCATACCAATTTTTCGTGTGTACAAATCTGCCTCAATTCTTTTTTATACCATGTGTCGTAAAAGTTAAACTCAAAATGAAAATATTGTATATACCAACAGGATACCAACTAACTTAACAAGCCATAAGAAAATAAAAGAGGCACACACTTTGAAAAGCAGAGTAAACTGTGCTCGCTACTACAGTAAGCTAGCTAAGATAGCCACATCTGTTGACTGGATACTTGCGCTCAAGAAGAAAAAAATACAGCATTGATTAATATATGACTGATAAAGAGATCTAATGATCAAGTTAGAATTTTGATTGATTGATTGTAACAGTTGTTTGCTTAACGTCCAGTGGCAGAAAATTCATGCATATTTAGGATAAATAAACAACAAATACAATCAAAATATTGATTCTGCAAAGTAGGTAGACCAGGATAAAGGGCGGGAAATTTGAACTGCCGCTTGTTAAAGATTTTGTTTGATAGTGGAAGAAAGTTTAACTAACAACAGACTTATACGTACAAGGTTTGTGGTACTCTCTCTACACGATGCATCGGATCTAACGTTCCTATTCTGACATACGTTGGGTCGTATTCATGCATCCCGCATAACCAATGTTGTTTTGTATCTTCAAACATTTCTCCAATAATAAATTCCTACATACTGTCTTGATTGCCCTTATTTTTGTGTGTATGTAATGAAAGTATAAATATAGTTAAGGTTTTAGAATACTCCTCCCACTTTATTCTTTCACATTTGTCGCTTAGTTAAAAATACTTACATGCCAATATCTTTGGTTCACCAACAACCTGAAAACAGAAATGCACCTGTGTAATTGCTGAATAGCTTACTCCTGACTACTATTTTGGCTTTGGACTTGGAGACTCATTTGTTAGCATCCTAACTGTCCCGGATCACCTGTGATTACCCCCGGTTTTGGTTGTATTGTGTTGCTCAGTCTAGTTTTTAATGTACTGTAATGTTTTGTTGATTGTTCGTATTTTCGTCGTTTTGCGGGGTTTTTGTCATGATTTTGTCGATTTCTTTCCGACTTTAAATTTTGTTAGTTTCCGCCTTTTACTTTCCAACATATTATTGCTTTCTTTCTTTACTTTGCTGTTCCCTTTTCTTTTAGTTTTTACCTATTTCAAGTGAAGTTTGAAGAGTGAACTGTCAACTGAGATCTATTAATGAAGTATGTCATATGTACAATATCACATTTGGTAAAATACTCACCCTGAACTTGAACATAGCTTTATTTCCAAGCAAGCCATTAACTACTTTAACCATGCCCTCTACGTCCACCTTTTGCTGACATCCTATCTCAATTGTGAGTAGAAAATGTGCTGGTTTCGACATTTCTAATTAAAATAATGCATTTTTTTAAACAGGAATTATTCTTACATATTTTTTATCACATTATTCGTTTGTATAGATCCTTCCTTAATCGAATGAAATCTTCGATCGTGGTCTTCCTGAATACTATTGAAAAACTTTGATACTCATGTACCATTCAATATTTGCAGTTCTGAAACAAAAAACACTTGCTTACCTTCTACATAATGATTTTCTGGAAATTCCGTTTAGAATTGACGCCATATGTCGAGCAACAATAATGAAAGCAAATTTGAACGAAATTTCGCATGTTTTCAAGGTTGAATGGAATTAAAGGAGGAAAGAAATTTAATGATTGGTGCAATGCGAAGGTCTGATTCTTATATCTATGAAATCCATACAAGCAAACTACAGGAAGACAAGACTTATTTTACTAACGTATAGTGAAGTCATATTACTTTTATAACAACAATAAAAAAAAAGCAACAACACATATTCATGTACTATAAAATTCGACGTGTATTATTTGTGAATTACAGCAAGTTGCATTGTAACTGCTAATTGGACCAAAATGACCCGATTGTTCTAGCTACTATGGTGTACATTTATAATTTTATTCGACAGAAATCTGATATAGAAGGGAAATGCGACCTATTCTAACATTGGTTCAAACTAATACTCTAATAGAATACAGTCGTGAACACTAAATCCCTACATTTTGCGTGAAATCTATACCTTTCCTTTGAAAGTATTTAAATAACAAAACTATAATTAGAAAATTACACTCAGTAAAAGTTGGATAGACGGGGTTATAATATGTGTCTAGTCGAATCTATTTGAACTTGTTTGAAAGGATGATCGAAACGATTCGAACTTGTATGAAAGGAGATTCATGACGAGATTTGTTGATAGATTTTTTGTATTGTACTGCTCTTGACAACTGTACTTGATCTACTTATTTAAAGTATATAATAAAATTAACGATTACCGTACCAGTTTTACTGCATCAGATGCCCATTTCAACAATTAATGTTCAGTGATGCTCGAGGTCTATATTATACCTTCAACTTTTCGACTTACAATGTAAACCATACAGAAATGTTAAAAGTTTTACAGATATCAGCGTCTACATTAAGGCAACAGTAGTATACCGCTGTTCAATAGTCATAAATCGATTTAACTGAAACAAATCCGGGTCACAAACCAAAACCGAGGGAAACACATCAACTATAAGAGGAAAACAACGGAACAACAGAAACACTGAACTGCTACAAAAACAAGCTCCAACATACATAGAAACGGACTATTTGATAACAACTGCCGTATTCCTGACTTGGCACAGGACATTTTGAACAGATATATCATGTTAAGGGGTATTTGCGAAAAATACCAGTCGAGAGAATGTCAAATTTCGCGAGCCGTAAGGCGAGGGAAATTCATTCTCAAGACTGGTATTTTTCGCAAATACCCCTCAAGAACATGCTATATCTGTGTAATAACACCGAATGTTAACGTTGACTTCAAAAACGCATTGATGATCGTGACGTTACGAGCGTCCAGTCGGATAGAGTATTTTTTGGCAAATACCACGGCAGAGAGGGTAAAAAAGGCATATCCTTGTTTTTGATTGGTTGATAGCCAGTGTATTTTTCACCAATTTACTGTTATCAAATGAATATCGTTCATTTTTTAACGCCGCCGGGGTATATGCAAAAAGGATATGCCTTTTTTACCCTCTCTGCCATGGTATTTGCCAAAAAATACGCTATCCGACTGGACGCTTGTAACGTCACGATCATCAAAGCGTTTTTGAAGGTTAACATTCGGTGTAATTAAACAGATATAGCATGTTCTTGAGGGGTATTTGCGAAAAATACCAGTCTTGAGAATGAATTTCCCTCGCCTTACGGCTCGCGAAATTTAACATTCTCTCGACTGGTATTTTTCGCAAATACCCCTCCTTAACATGATATATCTGTTCAAAAAATGGTTTGTTGAACCTGGATTCTAAGATCTAAGATTTTTAAAGTATCAGCGTCTAACGTAAATAAATATATAGGAAAATATTGTACGTATGATTGTTTCATTTTGTGTTTAAGGAATAAATTTTGATTAACTGATTTATATTGAACATGGTAATCTGTTGTGACACACCGAATGGCAATAGAGATGGTTTATGTAATTCCTTTAGTTTCTCGGTATCAAGACGTTAACAGAAACATCCCTATTTGGAAAACGGTGTCACTCGACAAGGGTAAAGATTGGCAAACATTTTGTCATATGCCACGACAGAAAGGGTAAAAACGAGATAGCAATTGCGCAAATATCCCAGCGGTGATGAAACAAATCGATATTCAAATCCTGAAATAAACCAGCTATTTTTTTCTTTGTAGAAATGAACTGTTTACCAAGCATTATTCTACATAACCTTTGTTCTATTCCTCCACTATTTGTGAGGTCAGCTGGGACATAAAATATAAGTATACTACTCCAGGGTACAATGCTGGATATAAGGGTGACAGAAAGCATGACTTCATTGTCTACATTGTTGTATCTTTAACGAATACCCATCATGCATTACGTCTTTGCACTAACGAGTTCAGGGTATAACGAAACGGAAGATATCAATGGAACATTCAAAACTCTCAAGTCGAAGAGAAATGTAATACAACTCTCAAGTCGAAGAGAAATGTAATACAACTCTCAAGTCGAAGAGAAATGTAATACAACTCTCAAGTCGAAGAGAAATGTAATACAACTTTTCTTTGCAGACACTTTATTCTAAAGAATGACTCCTTAACGTTTTTAACTATTATATACTAGTTCATTTGGATTGGAAATAGCAGGAGGAAAGAACAGGAATTCGCAGAAACTTGATTTTGAGATGGTTTGAAAAAATACAAACCATGTTATTCTTGTATTGGTATGGTTTTTATATATCTGCGGTTTATCATTTGAGCTGCGTCGGATAGAAATCGACCTAATGCACACTAATATCAATATATCTGTAAACCTATCTCGGGATGAAAAATCTCTTCGGAAAGTCTGTTACTGTTTGAAAATTGAGTTGTTATAAGAATCCTACAAAACAGACTGACATTTATCTTTTATTTCGTATTTGAATGTTCCATAATTAATCAAAGTCGTATACATGTACACGTATATGTGTACTTGCATAAGGTCGATTTCTATCCGGCGCAGCTCATTTATCATTTTTTTCTCTATTTTTGTTTTATTAATATTATATTAAAAATATAACTGATTTAGTATAAATACTTTAAAAATTCATTTCTGTTAAAAATCGCCTTACCTCAGAAATTTTAAAAACGCCCTGATCAGTATGAATGTTTTTGATATAATACAACTATACTGTTTCAATGGAAATAAATTATGAAATCGGAGTAGCAATGTTACTAAAAAAAACCTTAGCTTACGAATGTCCCAAAAAGTAACAACCTTAGGTTACTATTGTTAACGTGTCCTTCGCTATAATAGGTCTGTATTATATATACTATGTACATTTGAGTAACACAATAATTGACCTCGTCTATGAATCAGATATAGGTTTAAATAACCCAAAAGTATATTTACAAACATATGATACAGAAATGTATTTCAAATTTTAGAAAATGAAAATATACCAATCTAAAATTATAATAGACTGTTTACTGTGTATTGTACCGCTGACTTTTGTTCTTTCTACCGTTAAGGAGATATTGGGGTTTTTTTTTGTTATAAAGTTTATTCATTAGCGGTGTATAGTGTCAATCACCAATCGTTATATTCCTCCGATCTCCGATATCTGCTTTATAAGCGAATAGAAGGAGTATAATTTTTGGGATAAGCTGCGTTCTGTCGAGGGTCAGTTTGATTTCTCCTTCTTTCAGCGACATTTGCAAAAAGTGTAATTAACAATGTAATCTAGTTATTTATTAAAATGGTCCCTAGATTAAACGGCATGTCTGTTTTCATTTTTTGCATAAATCTATTGCTATTCAAGTTATGGGTATTCAAATGGGAAAAAGCTACGCCCGCCAATATTATAGTATATTTCATTTGTACTAGGTCTCTTCGGTTTTTTATGGTCACTAAAAATATACAATCATACCTAATCTACGTATTTTTATAAAAGATGAAAACACAAAATTCTTCTAAGGAGTTAATCGGAAAGTTTCTTTTTATTTCAGTGGCGGCAGCAGGTGGGCGTAGAGGGCGTACGCCCCCTTGATTGTCCCAGAACATAATTTTACATGTAACATGGTTTTCAAGATTTTTTTCGACTCGTTTCGCTCGCCGGTATATAATCCGTTTTATAGAATTACGGCCTCCTTTCAAAAATCCTGGGTTCGCCCCTGTATGTCTTTGGTAATTTTAATTCTGTCATTATCTGGCCGATCTTATTTTATCTTTGATTGTTTATTTGTGTTAGCGATGTATTAACCAGTACATATATTTGAAAAAAAATATTATTACAATGTATAATACTTTAACATGTAAAATCCTAGATTCGAACTTATGAGTACTTTCTATCTTTATAAGTAAACCATCCTGTAAAATATTTTATTATTTCTTTTGGGTCTTACACGTGTTTATTCTAAGTAGTAAAATAAGACAGTGGAAATTTAATTCTCAAAAGTTAGGCAAGTGACATTTTATGAAAATAAGTAGATTAGTATGATTGCCAATGAGACAAGTATCCACTAGAGAACAAAGGACGCGGATGTAAGCAACTAAAAGCCATCGACTTTCTACAAAGAGCAAAAACCATACCATAGAACTGTGAAAGTACTTTTATTCGTGTGGTACCAATTTTCGTGGTTTTCGTGGATTGCTTTATTCCCGAATTTAAGTGTCCATCGGAATATAACAACTGTTGTCCAATTCAAGATATGGAAAGATGCCTATGTAGGTTTGACTACATGGATACAGGCATTTAATCTAGATAGATATAAGAAGATGTGGTATGAGTGCCAATGAGAGAACTCTCCATCCAAGTCACGATTTGTAAAAGTAAACCATTATAGGTCAAGGTACGGCCTTCAACACGGAACCTTGGCTCATACCGAACAGCAAGCTATAAAGAGCCCCAAAAATGACTAGTGTAAAATCATTCAAACAGGAAAACCAACGGTCTAATCTATATAAAAAACGAGAAACGAGAAACACTTATGAACCACATCAACAAACGACAACCACTGAACATCAGGTTCCGGACTTAGGACAGGTGCAAACAAATGCAGCGGGTTTAAAAGTTTTAATAGGCGCCAACCTTCACCCTACCTGAAACAATAGTGTAACATCACAACATAGAAAGACACACTATAAAATATCAATTGAAATGGCTTAACTCAATCAAAAGACATATTAACAAAAACAAGTGAACATACACTGAACGAATAAATTTGATCTATGACACAATGTAAATACAAAATTAATAAAACAAGGGGGTTAGATGTAAAACAATATCAGAAAAACAACCATAACCTTGGACAAATTGCCGCCAAATGAAATAATGTACACAGGTAAATAAAAATAATTTTGTTGTAAGGTATACATGGAGTACGGAAATAATTTTTACAAAATGAATAATTTTGTTGTTCCTAGTACGAGAACAAAAAATGAAAATTTATCGTCATACTAAACACTTATCAAAGGTGGTATGTATTGAAAATAACGAGACTAGATATAACACTGAATAACTAAACATTAAATAACAAAAATACATTACAAATTGTATCAACAGGTCAAATTAACACGAAAGTACGATTTGAGAGTACTCGCAGTTACTGAAAGCTAGTTAAAAGCCAAAAACAATTAATAATAAAAAATCATGCATCAAAGACTAAAATTAACTAAAACACATCCCAGGGATTTAGTGTTTTAACGTCATGGACAGTCAAAGAAGACATGACTTGTGCAAAGCCAAAATAAAAGTATCGACAGGCAGTAGGATAGTTAGGAGTTAACTGTTAATAAATATGTACAATGTAATGTATAGATAGAGTAATCTCTATGTAGAAAATGAACGTGGATGTGTATTTATACATCCCAAAAAACCGTTTGAACTATATATACAACGTCAGATAGGATTTTACCCATTTAATCTTTATCAAAACCTAAAACTGTATGACTTTTAACTCTCCCGAAAATTTAGTTTTGATCGATGAAAGTCAGACTTCCGATGATGATACGCGACGAAAACCAAGAAAATTGATACCCACGAATAAAAGTACTTTCACAGTAGTTAGCTATAAACTGCCCCGGAAAGACAAAATATGAAAGTTTAAACGAGAAAATGAATGGCTGACCATTTATCTGAACAAACTACTAGTGAATGGCATATAAATGTATCAAATGAAGCAAACAGAAGAGATTAATTGAAAATTTAGTTTAAATCCGTGCGAAGGTAAAAAAAAGAAAGAAGAGAAAACCAAGGAAAAATCAAAATTACAAATTAATTTATAATTCTAATGTATAGGTTCTGCAGAATTGTTTGACTGGAATGAAGGGCTCGAATTTCTACTGCTTTTGTAAATTGAGGTTATGTTGAATAGAATCAGATATTTTGCCTTGTAACAGGCCACCTAATGACCTTTAAAAAAGTTGTTAAAAGTACTCTTTAACATATGGAAAGTGGGGAACTTTCCCTTCATACGGCACCGAAACTATCACCCCCATTCCAACCGAACGTGGTTACGTATTTATACATCTCAAACAGCCAAAAGAACATCCTTCTTTAAAATGGGTTCTACAACCGGATTGAAGAAGTTAAGATAACCATATTTATATACCCTTTGGGTCTGAATAAGAAAATGCGAGTTATTCGTTAATGAGGAATAATGCAGCAAACCAACAACAGAAAAACAACAAATGAATGACACTGGCAGGTCAACAACAGTCTTCAACAGTATCTTTACAGTTTGCACGGTATATTTCTATGTAACCATGAGTTTAAAAAATGTTAAATAAATTAATCACTTTTGAAAAAAATATTCTTAACTAAAATAGTGATCGATTGAAATATTAGGGTTATGTTTTTTCGTCGAGTTTCTGTTGGTACTTTTCTGATTTTTATAAACATTTCATAGTTAATATCTGTTAGAAGTCACCTAACCTGACAAGGTTTGGATTCACCCTTACTTTTATACAGACTACAACACACCCGCGACATCGCGGAGCCGTCACCGAATTAAAGTACCTATGCCTTATTTTAGCCTGTTTTTTTTAGTATTCGTATGGTCATCTGATAAAGTCATGCTGATTGTAAGGTGCACAGTTTTCTCTGCTTTCAAAATCTTTCTGTTTGAACCCGTCCTGCTTTTTCTAATTTTTAACTAATTAACCAAAATTAATAGTGGTATTGAGGTGGAAGAAAACAGACTTGTTAAATAATGTACTAAAATGTAACATGGATATAAAACAACTACTGGAAGAATTCCAGGTTTTCCTGATAGAGGAGGGATTTACAGAAGGTAACAGGTGGCACAGTAGTATTTCCTGGCCCATAGGGATAATGATAGCCTTTTTAGAATGTTCACCACTTTCTAACACTGCCCAAAATTCTACATACACAGTTAACTGAAGTACTTTCATTATAATATTCAGAAATGAATTTGAATATGTACCATGACCGTTTACTTTTTTTGCTATCTTTAAAAACCTAAGGCCACTAGTGCTTTTATGTCTTTTATCATGCAGTGAATACAAAATTAAAAAAATTCTCAAAAATTCATTTTCACCTGTATGTAAAATTATTTCATATTTTTCTACACCTGATTCATCCCTCAGTTTGGGAAAGTATGTTCAGTTGATACTGTATTTTTTGTCCAATCACACTACAACAAATGGAAGTTTTTAACGACCTTGACTGGCTGTTAAGCCCTCGCACGGTCGGCTCGGTGCCCGAAGGCGTTTTGGTGAGCGTTTAAATATTTTTGCAGTGGTCAGGAACAGTTGGAATTCGCCATTTTGGTAGGCCGCCATCTTGGATTTGGTGAGTTGTTTTGTTTTTGTTTGTTGACTATTTTGTTGTTTACTTCACAACGGCTGCTTTCAGGGCCAGGTTGGTCAGCTTGGCAGCCCGCTAACCTCGATGATGGAGTACTGGTAGATGAGTCTCGGACGTAGTATTAACGATGACAGGAAGTATTATCAGGACCAAAGTCGTGAGACAGTGAAATGGTGGTCCATCATCTAACACCTAGGATACAGCCCTCGGACGTCACTCGGCATACCACTCCCCCATCCATAATGGGTTTTGGAGTGTATGTTGACGCGGGAATTTGCCCCTACGCGGATTATAGCCTAACGTAGTCTGTACAGCGTTGGATTGGTTTCTGTCATCGAAAGTAGTAAGTCGTTGATCCATCTAACTGTAAACCCTCATCGAAGATAGCGGGTAAAGGAGA